CGCATGGACAAGTCCAGCACGCAAAGAGGAAGGCGGCGCTGGACTACTACCGCGCAAGGAAGGTTGCCCTCCAACAGGATGAGCTGGCCCTCCAGGCCAAAATGCATCCTGATGTCAGGGGGGTGATGCAGCCAAAAAACCTCCTTCTTTTCAAAGAGATGCAGAGAGATGCTTGTGTGGGCGACGAGAATCTGTTCCATGACCTTACTTCGGGTTTCCGCATCACAGGTGAGTTGGAGCCATCAGGGCAGTTTCCTCCCAAGTGCAAGGCGGCGGCTCTGTCTGTGGATGATCTTCGGAAGACGGCGAAAGGGGCGAAACACCTATTTGCGTCATCGTGTCGCAAAGCGGCCAAGGATAAAGCCGTGGCGAGAGCTGTATGGCAGGAATCCCTTGACCAGGTCCAGAGGGGGTGGCTTCCCGGACCATACAGTTCTTCGGAGGATGCACGAGTTGGCCCCGATTGGGTCGCGTCAAAGAGGTTCGGCATAGTACACGGAGAGAAAATCCGAGCAGTGGACGACTTGTCCGAATATATGGTCAACTCTACTGTCTCCGAGTCAGAGAAAATCGTTCTCGATGGAATTGATGAAATATTGGCAGTGGCACGCTTTTTCGGAGGAGCGAAAACGGGGGGAGTGCAAGAATTCAAGCTTCCAGCGCAGGATGGCAGCGTGTTCAGAGGACGGCTACACGATGACTTCCGAAAAGGGAGGCCCAGGCTCCTGCGTGGAAGGGCTTTGGATCTTAAAAGTGCTTACAAGCAACTTGCACGCCGCCCCGAGGATAGGTGGGCATCAGTGCTCGCGGTGCTGGATGTTGATCGCGATTGCGTGATGTTCTTCGAATCCCTGCACTGCCGTTCGGTGCAACAAGCTCCGTCACAGGATTCAATAGGACAGCCAGAACGCTTCGGATTATCATGATTCGACTCTTTTGCTTGGTTTGCACATCGTTTTACGACGATTTTTGCCAGTTGGAGCTTCTTGATCTTGTGGAGTCCGCAAGCGAAACTGCACTTTCCTTGTTAGAACTCCTTGGGTGGGAGGTTGCCAAAGGTGATAAGCTAAAAGGGTTTGCCGATGCCTTTAATATGCTTGGTGCCAGGATTTCCTTTGCAGAAGTGCCTGTTTACACCGATGGTGCATGTGAGGCCTCTAGCATCACTATGGGGGCAGTTCTTGTCGACCTGTCAGGCACCAAGGAATTTTTCGGCTGTCCTGTGCCCGAGCCGTTGGTGCTGACATGGCGGCGGTCCGGCAGGACTCAACTGATCTTCTTCACTGAAATCTTCCCAGTTCTTGTGGCCAAGAAAACTTGGAGTGAGATTTTGAAGAATCGCAGGGTTTTCTTTTACATCGACAATGAGGCTGCGAAGGCGGCTTTGATACGTGGGTTCTCGCCCCTTCTGGATGCTTCAGACATGTTGTTTGAGATATTAATATTCGAGCAGGATGTTCTGCTTCAATGCTTGCCTTGGTATTCCCGTGTACCTTCAAAAAGCAACTGTGCAGATTCCGCTTCGCGCTGGGAGTTTGATGTGTATGGCACCGACTTCCGACAAGTGCAGCCTGCCCTTGAGTGATGAGCTTGGCGGCGGATGACAGATTGGAGGGCGAACGGGAGGTGTTGATGGGGGGGCAAATGAGTCCATTGGATCCACGGTACAGGATTCTGGGCAATGTTACCGCGCAATGCAATGCACAGCGTACAATCCCCCATCGCTGAAAAAGAAATCTGGACCGCATTTCTCTGTTTCGTCAGTGCAACATGTCAACCAACAGTTGAGTACACTCAGGTGATGATTCACATTATGAAAGAATTATCTCCGTTATATTTGATGATCAGATATTCTTGATTTGGATATTTGATCAATTCTTTTTGTTGGTTGTGTAAAGTTATTATGGATGTTGGTAAAGGATTGCTCACAAAAGAATAAAGCCATTGGCCGCTTCAAGCTTCTGTTAGTCATGACGAATTTTTTCGATGACTTCACCGTGCTGGCGTGTAAATCCAACAGCAAACACGTGGGACTCGTAATCTCTTTTCTGTTCAAGAAAATGGGCTGGGACGTAGTCCAGGACGAGAAAAAGAATGCGCCGTTCGCAGAAATCTTTGACGTTTTGGGGGTGCGTATTGACCTTAAGCAGCGACACCTTGGACTCGTGTCCATCTGGAACACCCCAGATCGCCTGGAAGAACTGCGAGCTGACGTTCAGGGGGCCCTGGGAGACACCCCTCTTGCGTGGGGTTTTGAGTTGCCTCGCGTAGACGGCCGCAGTTGGGCCGACCGTGTCGGGAAAAAAAGCAGCTTGTTTTCGAATGCGAGTTGCTGCCGTATTTGATCAGCTTACAGCTATGGGCTGGTTGCCTTCAGGTGTGATTTGCTAGTGTTCAGTGATAATGACGCCGCTAGGGCGTCACTAGCAAAGTCCTTCCCCAGAGGAAAGAAGAAGGAGCTCGAATCGTATTCAAGGCTGTGGAGTCTGTCAGCGTTCATGCCTTTTTTCACGCGGGTTCCCACAGCGAGTAACATCGCCGATGGGCCCAGCAAGCCCCATTCGGCTCAAG